CCTGTGAATCGATTCAGTTGTTCCGAAACAGAAATTACAATTGTTACATTGTTGCTCTTTGCTCTTGGAGTGGTTCGCTTTCACAATGCAAAGTTTCTGATCGGACCAAAAGAGCTAAAACAAGTCACGTGCGAGTAAACTCTTCTTACATTGGTCAGTGTCAGGGTTTATTTTGCAGCGTCCCGCTACGCTGTCAGGAGAGGTGGTGGTTTGGTGGTGATTGACGGTGCGCACACGCGACGTGTCTGAGGAGAGATGCGGTGGGGAGGGGTGAGAAGGGTGCGCGACGATGCCTATTTGAGGACCGGGAGGGAGACGCGAGATTACCAGGAGATCATCACTCGTTTGCGGGCAACCGAAGACTCACGAAACTTCCCACCCTACTCATAATACTTTCTTCATATAACCGTAAGCCTATTACATATCCATAAAACACTGTGATATAACTGCTCTCGGATCAGATTGCTTTCTCACTGTAATCGAACCGCTCCAAGGTTCGTTTCAATCAAGCCGAGACCACCTCACTCAAGCGATCTCGGAGCGATAACTTTGGCGCGGAACAGAGCGCAATTGCCCTGTTCACATATGCCAAACGAACTGCGCTAACTGGGCAAACGAGATACGTTCCGAAACAAAAGTGTAGGTGTGAAAGCACCCTAAAACAATCCAGAGAGGCAACATTCCTAATGCTGATGGGGAGTTCATTCCAAAGCTTAGGTGCCCTGTGTAAAAAAGCCCTCCCATCCATGGTCTTAAGTTTACACCGTGGTTGATGCAAAGTAAGCCCCGATGCAGAACGAAGACTGCAGGCTGGGGTGGCGAGGGTCACCAGGTCACAGATGTAACTGGGTGCTAACCCATGCACTACTTTGAAAGTTAAAATCAAGGTCTTAAAATCAATCCGTGATTTAACAGGAAGCCAGTGTAATTGTTGTAGCGCAGGAGAAATATGGTGGCGTGATGATGTGTGTGTTAGAACCCGTGCAGCAGAATTTTGTATATATTGTAGTCTTCTGAGAGAACTTGTAGGTAAACCCCCAAAAAGTGAATTACAGAAATCCAGACATGATGTGATTAAGGCATGGATAAGCCTCTCTGCATCAGGTCGTGAGAGAAATGGTCTGATCCGTGCAATATTGCGGAGATGAAAGAAGGCAGTTTTTGTTAAGTGTTTGAAGTGGGAGTTAAAACTGAGCTGTGCATCAAAGAGCACCCCAAGATTACGCACCTGGGTAGTAGGAGACAGTTGAACATTATCAACCAAAAGTGTAAAATCCTTGTGCTGGCTAAGCTTAGTAGGGGTGGCAATTAATAAGACCTCAGTCTTGGAACTGTTTAATTTAAGGAAGTTTAGACTCATCCAAGATTTAATTTCTAAAAGACAGGCAGAGAGGTCAGCCAGATAAGAGACAAACCAGCTAAAAACTGTACCAGACAAACCAATCTACTTCCTGAGCCTGTCCAGAGGTATACTGTGACATATGGTGTCAAAAGCAGCAGTGAGATCTTATAAGACGAGAATGTCACAGGCCCCACTATCTGCAGTTAGAAGAAGGTCGTTTACGACCCTAGGACAGTTTCAATACTGTGACCAGCTCTGAAACCAGACTGAAATTTCTGAAATAGAGTGTTTGCATGAAGATGGTTATGGAGTTGGCTCACCACCACACGTTCCAGTTCTTTAGCCACAAATGGTAATGTAAGAATTGAAATATTGCAAATATTCTGATATCTTTGACAATTCGAAACATGAGCTGAAAACAGAGACTGGTGACTTCACAACCCACCAAGGGGGAATGCGTGAAAAACTAGTTCCTGCTGCATTTGCATCTAAAATTGCTGAACTCAGCTTCATCCCCCTAACTCACGCATATGGTCATTTCAATGTTTTAGATTAACCAAACTGACTTTAACTATCATGTTTGATATCATTTGAAATGTCTCAGTGCGATTGGTACAATGGTCTCATTCTCTCAGAAATAGACATAATCAGAACAATAAATATATAACTTCAGGCATCTTTTGAACCACTGTGAGGGGTGTGACTTTTACACTAAGTGTGAATGCCTTCTTTGTTATTCACACCCCCTTCCTTGAGGGAATTCTTGGATTATTTAAGGTAAGGTCTAAGAAAAACTCAGGGCGATTCTGCCTAACCAGATCAGCCCATAACATGGGGTCTGCTCCATGTTATGTATATTTCAAAGTCAGGAATGCATCTTTTTCATCTTGGATTTATCTTTGATAATTTGATGTTTTGTATTGATCGTTTATGAATTGACTGATTGAATTGGCATAATACATTTACCTGACTAATAAATTGTTATGTTTTGAATGATTCAAACAGAGTTCGTGTTATTAACTTTAGTAGATTGTGGTAATTTCATAGCACCACAAGCCCCTGTTCAGGTTAGTAGCGGACTAGAACACGGTAGACGGAGCATTGCGGCATGTTACACGATGTCTCTAGAGCTCCGACTAACAAATTGGCATTTATTCATGTATACTTAGGCTGTAAAAGGATATCTAAGGGGATAGTCCTTCACCCGATAAACTTTTAATACTATTTAGATAGTATAGTGATTATTCAAAGTTACTACTAGTTTAAGTACGACTGGTCTGCTTAATTCTATAGTAATGATCGTTATATGACTAAATAGCTCTGTCTGATTTAGGAGGTAGCAGACCTATGGGGACCGCATAAAAAATATCCTAATCTGAGTAAGTAGGGTTCTGCCTTTTTAGGATAGCGGTCAATCGCCACTGTTTAGTGACCAAGACTGACATGCTTGTGCTTAAGAAATTGTATACTCGGCCGGTACAAGATTCAGGATGTTATAGAGATCCCAATGAACGAGAATAACATAAAATGATGAACCGAAGAGAATATTCAATCATAATCTAAATTAATGTGAACGGAAACAAAATAACCTTCTCAATGTTTTATTATTGGAGTCAGATAAAACGAAAGATATACTCATATCAAACTTATATATGTATTTAACTCAATACTATTTGTGCTTAAAAGAAGACAGTGACGCGCAAGAATCCTTCTGCCGTCTGATTGGTTGCCGCCGTTGGACCAAACAGGCGGACCCTACAGTAAATTGGGTGGTATATTTTTATACCACTATACCAATGGTAAATTTTAATATGGACCCGTGCTCCGCGGAATGTAAGCTCGCGGGGTTTCGGAGCGAGGGAGCGGTGAGCGCGATCTAATACCACCGGTAAATCCTCATCTAATACCTCTGAGAAGAAACCAGACATGAAGTCAGTGGGCCTGCCCTTCTCCACGTCTTCAGGTATGCCGATTATTCGCAGATTTTGGCGAAGATTCCTATTCTCGAGATCTTGTTGCTGCTCTTGCAGCTTTTGTATTTGGTTTTTTAGATTTGAAACTGTAGATTCCATTGTTTTGAGCGATTCATGGTGGGAGTTGAGCACTGTTTCCATTTTCTCCATAGTGTCAGTCATACCGGATTGCTTAGTTTGAACGGAATGGATTTGTCCCGCTATCTCTAACTGTAGAGCATCCATTTTGGTTTTGACTTCCGAACGGAATGTTTCGACAATCAATCCGATCTCAGACCAAAAGCGCGACATCTCCGTTTTAATGGTCTCTGATATAAGTTCAGTCTTAACCAGCTGGAGAAGTATATTGTCCTCTAGCGAAGTTTGGTCTGTACAACTGTTACTTGTAGCGTTAGCAGTGGCCTCCATGCTAGCTTGCTTTACGTTGGGACTATCAAGCTGCATCTGTCTTGTCGTCGTTTTTTTTTTGAAACTTTAGCTTGCCATTTTAATACAAATCAGCTTGCCGTAGATGCAGGATATTAGTGGAGACAAAGTTATGTCTTTTTCAAAGTATACTCGCGTGTAATTGGTGTTAATAAAGTTAAAGATAGTGAGAGCGTAAACAAAACATGACTACCTCCTCATCTTGCCTCATCCTCCTCATCTACCTCCTCATCAATTCCTGTACTGCCACCTTTTGCTGAAATTACAGCCTGTAGACTCATCTTATAGTTAAGGATAAGTCCCTGAATTCTTGCAGATGGCATTTTGTTTTTTTTGCAACTTTATGTTTATTTTGAACATTCAATTGAGTACAATCATACGGCATTTTAAGGTACATTGGTATCTCAGTATGTGAACTTAGGTGGTATAAAAATTACGTGCATTATTGTCAGGTGTATTTACTACACAGTAGTACTCAAAATTTGTAAATTATCAAGTGAAAAACAGCATAAAGAGAAGAAAAATAAAATAAATAAATAACTTAAAATATATATATATATATATATATATATATATATATATATATATATATATATATATATATATATATATATATATATATATATAAATAGATAAATAAATAAACAATAATAATAATAATAGGAAAAAAATTAAATAAAAATACAATAATCAAAAATAAATAAAAATTAAAACACTATTTACATCCAGGGTTAGAACACATGTCATAATATATTTTCTTCAAGAGTAATCTGAAGTGGCCATCTTCATTATACATATGGGGACACATTATAATATGAATAAGTGTAATCATATACATGTACATGCATTAGCATATATTTATCTATCAGAGCATCATCTTCTATTCATTTATAGCAATAAAGTCAGGTCTTCTAACTAAAATATATTCAACCCATTTCCTCCATTTTCTCAGGAATATATCTTTCTTTAAGTTGACAACAAAGGTGATTCTTTCCATTGTATAAATCTCAATAGTTGCGTCTATCCAATTACTAAGGGTTGGTCGCTCTTGCTGTAGCCATTAGCGTGTGATTGCTTTTTTGCTGGCAGCCATGAGAGCACGCATAAGGTATTTATTGTCTGCCGTTACCATATCTGGATCCACACAGCCAAAATATAACAATTTACTTTCTAGAGGTATATCTTATTCAAATATATGTTCAAGAGCCTCCTGTATTTCTTTCCAGTATTCTTGAATATACATACATTCCCAAAAGATATGATAATGGTTTGCTTTATTGCATCCGCAGTTACGCCAGCATTTTGGAGACTTATTTGTATATTTAGCTGTTAGTGCTGGTGTTTTGAAATATCTAATAATGTTTTTCCAACAGTTTTCTTTCCAGTTTAATGAGCTTGTTGATTTCCATTGAAATTCCCATATATTTGTCTACTCTTCATCAGTGAATGTTGTTCCACTTTCTGTCTCCCATTTTTCTTTTATATAATTTGTGGATTGTGTTTTCATACTTCTCAGACTCTTATATATCAGAGGGACTATTTTGTACTTTATACCTGATGTGTGAGCTTTTTTAATTATATCTATTAGTTAATTATATCTGATAGATATTATTGCTTCTTTCCATGATGGTGGAACAGTCACATTTTTTAGGGTCCAATTATAGGACCGGGCCAAGATGGGTATTATCTCTTTTTGGAATGCCCTATACCACTCCCCAGTAAATCCATCTGGTCCTGGAGATTTGTTAAATTTAAGCTTAGTAATGGCCTTTTTTACTTCGGTTTCTGTTATTTCTGCTGTCAATAATTTGTTTTGTTCATCAGTTAGTGTTGGTAGTTCCAATTTATCAAGAAAAATGTCAATTTCTTTGTTTTTATCTTCAGGCATTTTAGAGTATAATTTTTTTGTAAAACATTTCAAAAACAGTTTGAATATTCTCTTGTTTGTTTTGTATTGTATTGGTCACAGGATCTCTGATTCTATATATTGTTTGGTCTATTTGTTGTTTTCTTAATTTCCATGCCAATATTTTCATAAATGTGGGGCCACTTTCATAATATTTTTGCCTGGGGAATGATATTTTTTTCTCAACCTCTTGAGTATATAGCATATTAATTTCATTCTGTACTTTTTTAATTTGTTTTAATATTTTTGGGTTTTGATTAATCTTGTGTTCCTTTTCTAATGATTTTAGTTGATGCTGTAATTTGTTTAATTCCTGTTGCCGGAGTTTCTTGTTTCGTGAAGCAAATGATATAGTTTTCCCTCTTAATACTGCTTTTGCGGCATCCCACAGTATAGGAGGAGTGACCTCTTTGGATTATTAAGAAGGTTTAGTTTAAATTTCCATAGTGTGTCTTTGTATTTGCTATTTAATTGTAGTTTTAAATAGACTGGAGCATGATCACTAATATCTATAGTTCCAATATCACAACTCGTAACTCTGGCTCTATCTGTTTTAAACATAAGGTAATAATCAATCCTTGAGTAAGTATTATGCGGAGAAGAAAAATGTGTATAATCTTTTGTATTTGGATACAAGTCTCTCCATATATCAATTATGCCAATATCATTCATCATTACATTAATTTTCCGAAGAATAGGTTTGGGAAAAATTATTTTCTTATTTGTGGAGTCTAAATCAGGTTGTAGGTGTATATTTAGATCACCCCCACAGATCAGAATACCCTGCGTTTCAGAGGCTATGGTCTGAAATATATTTTGAAAGAGATTAATTTTACTATTAGGAGGACCATAAATATTAACAAAATAACATATGTTCCATTTAGTTTGCCCTTACCCAGAATAAAACGACCTTCTTTGTCAGCATATTCATATTTTTTTTCAAAAATAACTTTATGAGAAATCAATATTATAACCCCTCTCCTGTACCCTGTAGGGTATGATGAGTAATAGATCTGGGTAAATTCCATTCTTTTAAGTTTTTCATGTTCTGAATTATTCAGGTGTGTCTATTGTAAGTATACTATATGGGCATTTTCTTTCTTCATTTTAGTCAATATTTTTTTCCTTTTGATTGGATTAAGTAGGCCATTAACATTAAATGAAATTATTTTTGTCTCGTCACTTATGTTGGTTTAGTATTTCAATATCTCTTGAGTAAGGAAGACAATAACCCTGGAGAACAATATACGAAACAATAACAAACACTACAAGAACCTGATGAACATATTGAGCTTCCAAGTTAGGGGTCTCAAACAAACAACCCTGGGACAGTCTGATGATATCTAGCGTGGGAGGGAGACCTTTCTTTCTGTGGTGATATTCAGGGCCCCCCAGTTCACCGTATTTACATGAGATGAAAGAAAACATACCTCACGTGTCCGACGTAATATGACATTATTGAGCGATACAGAGAAAAAAAAAAGAAAAAAAAGAGCAGAAATTATCTCAAGTTTTGCGGTTCATAAAAATGTACCAATTCAAGTGTTTGTTGCAGATGGCGTAGACAGACTTAAATTATCTTCTATATGCCTGTAGACGCTCTCGGATGTCAGTCGCTTGTTGATTTGTTTTCTCTTTTGTCTTTTTATGCGAGACAGTTTCCCACGACGTGTGTTTGAGTTGTTCCATTAACGATTCTGTCTGCGGCTTTTTTTCCATCGGAACCCTTTTTTCACCATGTCTGTGTATGCCTCTTCAGCTGTATGGTACGTGTGAACCCCGTCCTCATAGTACACCCGTAGTCTTGCTGGATATGGAGTTTGGAATCGGATCTTCTTTTCTTTAAGTACTTTTTTCACCTGTGAGTAATCCTTCCTTTTCTGGAGAACCGCGGGAGGATAGTCATGATCGAAGTATATTTTTTGCTCTCCCATGAGGATTTCTTTTTTCGCCCATGCCTTCCGGATCACTTCTTCTTTCGTTCTGTACCTGAGGAATTTTACTATGATCGATCTAGGTTTTGCATTCGTTCTGGGTTTCGGCACGAGCGCCCGATGGGCTCTTTCTACATACAGCTCCCTGTCTGGGGGAAAATCCAAAGTGTCCCGCAACAGTTGTTCTACGAAATCAACCATAGAGTTTTTCTCTGCATCTTCAGGCACGTTGTATATCCTTATATTGTCTCTTCTTGATCTGCCTTCTTGGTCAATTTGTTTGTTTTCCAATTGCGATTGTATTTTAATGATTTTTTGCATGATTTCCTCCACGTTTTGCAATCGGGTTTCAGTTTCTTCAATACGATCCTCTGCGTGGCTGATTCTTTGATTAGTTTTATTTAATTCGGTTTTGATTTCATCCAACTGGCGGTTGTTGTCCTTCCGAAAGTCTTGAATTTCCTCCAGGATTCGTTCCAGATTGATATACGTGTTGTCAGGGTTACTAGGCTGTTGACGATTAGCATTGTGTTGCTGTGCTAACGCATGTGTTCCAGCGGTGCCTACTTGCTGTCTGCCTTCAATTTCCACAAGTTCCGTGTTGGTTTTCCTGCTCTTTTTTTTCGTCTCCATTGTTGCCCCACTATTATCGATTATTTTGAAACAGTTAGGGGTTTTTCTCAAGTTTAAGTGGGGTTATTAATATCTTCGTCGGAGGAGACGATGCACTATGCTGCCATTCCCTCACTCGCCGGAACCGGAAGCCGCAGATGGCATTTTGGAACATTCCTTCTTGCAAAAGTTTGTGCCAAGCACAAACAGTGCTTTTCAAATCAATCCATAAATTTTCGATGATGTTCAAGTTATGCTCAGACACGACAAAATGTTCTAGAATGGCCATCCCAGCATTCTAGAACATTGTATCGTGTCTAAGCATGAATTACTTGGTAAATCTGGAACCATGTTCTGGGTCATTGTCGTGCTGAAACATCCAACCCTGCCGTAACCTCAGCCCGTTTGCTGATTTCTGAACATTATTCTTCAGAATCTGCTGATACTGGGTGGAATCCATGCGACCTTTAACTCTGACAAGGTTTCCAGTAGCTGTGCTTGCCACATATTCACACAGCATGATGCACCCTTCACCATATTTACAGTAGGGAGTTTTTTCTTCTCATGAAATGCTGTGTTTTATTTCCACCATGCAAAGTGCCTTTGGATGGGGCATCTGTCCACAGCATATTTTCCAAAATGATTCAGGCTTGTCCAGATGAACGTTAGCATATCTCAAACAACTCTTCTCGTTGGCAGAACACAGAAAAGGCTTCTTCTGCATCGCCTTCCATTAAGCTGTTCTTTGTGAAGAATGCGCTGAACTGTGGAATAAATCACAATGACAATATCATCAAGATGTTCCTGCAGCTCTTTAGAGTTGGTCTGTGGTTTGTCTGTGACTATTCTAACCATTCTTCGTCTTTGACTTTCAGATATTTTTCTTGGTCTAGCTAGCACATCTTTCCTTCACAAGAACTGTTCCTGTGGCCTTCCATTATCTTACTATATTTCTGGCTACATGTACATGTGATTTTCAGGGTTTTTATTTGTAATAAATTTGCAACAGTTTCAAAAAATAGTTTTTTACATTGTCATTACAGGATATTGTGTATAGAATTTTGAGGAAATAAATTAATCAATTTTGGAATAAGGCAGTAACATAAATAAATGTGGAAAAAGCTAAGCGCTATAAATACTTTACGGATACAGCTGATGCCAGACATTTCTTATTAGTTCTGTGCTATGGCACTGGCCTACACACACTGTCTTCTGTGGTTAAATGAGTGTTGACATTATTCTGCAAGACTTACCTCAGATGAGAAAGTGTCAGCCCAGAAGGTTTCGAGCACAACTCTTTTCTACTGGAGCTCGACTGGCTGGATCATCTGGATGTTTTGCCTTACCCGATTCTTCGCCTCCGATCAAAGTTAGACAGACAAGTGACATATAGAGGGTGAAACAAAAAATGTTAAAGAGCGCAAAACAGCAGTAGGGATATAGCCTAGCTAGTGATGCCGGCAGGCTAAGGTTAAAAGTGGATGCTCAAGAAATTAGATAAGACTAGTGATGCAAGATGCGAAGTTTGAGTACATTTTGTTGTAAAACAATATGAAGGGTATGTTCACCCTTTGTAAGACTTTTTGCAAAGAGAAGATGGGGACGTGTTTATGAAAAGAATGAAAATGACAAATTCACTCAATGGTGCTCTAAACACAAACAACACCTCTGCAACAAACAATGTCACTCGAGCATACTCTCAAGGTTTAGTACTCAATGAGCTTGGTCATTCAGAGAAAAAGATGCTAGGCCAAAGGGAGCCCATTAAGACAAGTAGTATTCACTCCAGAGCCAAATGGAACTCCAGATCCTTATTGCTGCACTTCCTCTGCAAGTGATATAACTGGGAATTGGGTTTAAATCAGCTTACATGTATCTCTTCAGCAAGCACACTCTTTATCAAAGACCAGCACAGGCCTGTTTGCAGGGTTAGCTATAATGAATTTCTATACAGCAGGATACATTTAACTGTTTGGTGGGCATTCTGTCCCATTTGCTGCAAGTAGATAGACAAAAACAGTGCAACATGTTGCCTCTCTGTGTCTGTGCTTGCACTTTGAGCATTGTAACAGCATTTTTGTGTGGTTCATTTATCGTTGCAGGAAGGCTGAATAAACTTCACAACAACTACATCAAATAACCATTTGGAAACTTCCTGCTTCGGTCTGAACTTTGGAACTCGTGACTGTGGCTTTCTGCTTCATCAGTCTCTCAGTCTCTATTTGTCATTTTGCTGTGCTCATCTGACACCTAAAGTTTGGTTTTATTCTAAACCAACATCCCTAGGAGTGGGCAGGGAGAACCAGCTCATTTGCATTTACATCATAGGCGTAAACAGCTAAAATTCCATCTAGTCCAAAAATTGTCATTTTTAACAGGGTAAAATAAATGATCTGAGGAGTACTTTGCCCGGTAAATTTACAAAGATAAAAAGTAGAAGTTAATATTTTCAAGACATAAATACCTTGGGCTACAAACACTGTTTTTGTAGATAACTTGATTAAATTTGTGTTATTTTTAAAAAAATGTTGCTGGATGTTTGGAAATAGTAGAAGATTTATCTTAAAGACACTAAATGCACTTGCAATATGAAAATTTTCTTTGCATTCATAAAGTACAGCTTTATTTAAAGTTTGTGCCAACACTGGCAGGTGCTCTGGGGCTGGAGTCGTCAATGGCAGGTGCTTCGGGGACTGGAGCCGTCATCGGCAGGCGCTCTGGGGCTGGAGCCGACACTGGCTGGCACTCCTGGGTTAATTGCTGAAACTGGTAGATGCTCTGAGGCTGGAACTGCGTTTTTAACAAGTTCACTGGCCTATTCTGTCATAATTACTCACACTCACATTTTTACAAACCCCCTTTTGTTCAGTTTTGGAAGACAAATTAGAATAATTTGGATAAAAACTGAACATCGCAAGATATTCAGTGTCTGCAAAGTAAGGCACACATTCACATGGACTGTGCAGAGAAGATGTATACTGATGTACTGAAAAGTTGCTTTCAGGCATTTGGAGTATACATTGCACTGTGCTTGTGAACGTGTGCTCTGAATAAAGGTCTCAGGGGTTTGGAATGGCATGAGGGTAAGTAATTAAAGACAGAATTAACATTTCTTGGCAGTTTCACAAGCAGCAATACATTTCTTCAATTCTATATGCATTTTAGGAAGAAAGTTGGTTAGTCAAGGCCACACAGAGTTCACATGTATCAAAACAGCTTCTAAAATACAGTTCATCAACCGTAAGGCAAGCCTTATAGACAGATATGTTGTAGTATTATAGATACATTATACAGAGGGCTTACTGTATGTACTGAATGTTATTGTCATTGTGTTGTTAGTGTCATTATCTCACCTTTAGGTACATAGGCGTGGACAGCTATTTGACCCAAACGATCACCCACAGATTTCACTGTGCTTTCAAGAGCATGTCGTAAGCATGTTGTGCCAATGTGGTGTGGATGCACTTCTGGTTCTGTAAGAAAAACAGTTTTGAGGTTAGTAAACAGCAGTGAAGCACACTCAAAAGAAAATCAAACTCTAAATTGCTTGGGTTTCTGTCCTAGAGGTTTTCTAGTCCCTCTCTGACATTTAGGCTTTTGTCTACTCACAGTAAACGTCTGTCAAAAAACTGTGAAAAGACAAAGGAAAACTTACCCTTGATTCGGAGTCCCAGTCCAAAGTCAATAAGCTTGATCTGCATCAAAGCTGTATTGATTAAAATGTTGTTGGAGTGCATGTCATTATGGAAAACCCTATGGTTTATGCACTCTTGAGCACAACGGACAACCTGGACCATCAATCTCTTCGCAACACTATCCTCCAAGTGTCCGCAGTGGCAAAGAAAACTTGCCAGTGGTTCACAGGGCTCTGGATACTCCATGACCAGGTGAAAGCATTTTTTCTCTTGAAACCACTCAAAAAGGCGTACAGTGTAGGTGCTTGGAGGTTCCATGAGCATACTCAGTAGCACCACTTCTCTGGGACAGCCAGGCTGGAGAAAAAATATAATTAAATGTCTTATATTCAATATAATTTGTATTCAGTGTCATATACTAATATGCATTGTTGTTAAATCTGTTGTTACATTCTTCGCTTTTTGCTTTCTTTCAATGAACTTGATGGCAACCTGTGGATGAAAAGATGGAGAACATTAGTAAACTTCTTGCATAAACATTCAATCTTGTATTGCGAGCACAGGTCTATTGATCTGCAGTCACTGTACTAAAAAAGAAAACAGAGGAAGTGTAGAAGAGGTATACCTTTTGCTGATCTGACTTTCGTATTGCCATTTTGACGATGCCATAGCGTCCTCGTCCCAGCTCTCTCACCATATCATACTTGTTTTTCACTGAAAGATATAAGAGATGTTCATTTAAGATTCTTGTTATGCCTGAACAAGCAGAATAAAAAGTCTGTGTACAAAGTAATGTAAGAGATGTAAAAAAGAGTTATTCTGTATTTGGGTGCCTGTCTTTATTTGAAATAATGTTTGGAGTGTTCTAATTGTTACAGAAATCCTTAGCTATTATTTAAAACCATCTAAAACCAGAATCCACTTTGTTCTGTACTTTACAAGTATCAATGCTAATAATAAATGCTGTTAAAAAACACCAATAAAAAAGAATCATTGTTTCAGATGTACCTGATCCAGGCGATCGGTTGATTAGCCTTGAACCTGATGTAGCCTGTGTAGGGTGCAGTCCTGATGGGCCTGGGACTGGCTCAGTCTCCTCATTTCTTCTCAAACCTGGTGCACAGTTGGGATGATATATATCAGTACATTTTATAAACATTCTTAATATAATCACTTAAAAAATAACTCAAACATGTATACAGCATTAGTTACAAAAACACAATAAATACTTGGCAAAAATACTTCTCCACCCATTGCAGCTTCTCTCAGAAAAACATTGCATAACTTTAGTCTTTTTTACACTTATAAATAAAACTTTACTCTACAATCTAGGGCTGGACAATCATTTATTATTAATATAAATTTGGCATTGGTTGGTAATTGCCTCAAATAGCACTGAAATAAATACTTATTGTTTTATTAAATAATCAGATTTTGTAGGACTTTCTAAATTTAACTCAATAAATTAGGTTACTAATTTAAAAAAAAATCCAAGCCAATAAAATAAACACATTTGTAACCCTGGAGCACAAACCAGTCTTATGCTGCGCAAGAATATTTTTAGCAATAGCCAGAAATACATTTTATGTATCAAAATTGTTGATCTTTCTTTTATGAAAACAATCATTAGAATATTAAGTAAAGAAGATCATGTTCCTTGAAGATTATTATCTGTACATTTCTACTGTAAATCTATCAAAACAATAAATAATTCATTTAGACAGCTTTAAAGGCAGTTTTGAACCTTCAGATTGTAGATGTTCAAATAATTTTATCTCAGCCAAATATTGTCCTATCCTAACAGATTATATACATCAACAGAAAGAGTAAAACCAGAATGCTGGACAGAGTGACACCAGTTAACCGGTTTTAGCTGTTTTTTTTTTAGCCGAATATTAGGGGCATTTCTACAATTTAGCTTTAATCTAATTAAACACACCTGCTCAAACTGATTAAGTCTTTCATACTTGTATGAAACCTATAGTTAGGTAGGTGTGTTGGAGCATGTTGTAACTAAAATTGGAAATCTGAGTTTGACACAGCTGCTCTAATACTGATCTATATGATCACACAGATGATGATAACAGATGAAAAGGTAACATTCTGCTGTTATAGTGTTTTGTAAAAACTACAGTACTAGTGCACAAACATTTTTGTCAAAACACATGCGTTCTACCCTCTTTGCCAAAAACAATATTGCTGATTGTAAGAATGCACATTAATGTGTAGACAACTACTGTAATGTATGTCTATATTTTCCCCCAGTACTGCGGCAAAATATAAAGTCCAGCTACTCCCAGCAGAAAGACACTGACTGACACCATGAGAAAAAGACTACAATATTGATACTGCATTATTATCCAAAGTGTGAAATGTATTTATTCATACACTTTTTGTGTGCCCACTTATCCCAGTTTAATGTGCAGACAATTTTAAAAGCTGAAAATTACGTTTTTCTCCAGAAAAAAAGTTGGCACTTAATATAGTAATAATTTGATTTCTACTTTAAAATGTTTCTTTTCAGATTTATTTTAAACGATTGTTGTTATAGATATTTACATTTATAATAAGGGACATAACCCTAACATTGTTGCATGTAAAGTATATTCTCTCATGCACAACAGCATTGGCACTTCTATACACTGTAGTATGTGTTCCTGCATCTTTACATAAGCGATTAACACATTTTATTTGTTTATAAGGTAGGTAAAGTACAGTATATTACTCTTTTTTTTTTTTTTTACAATCACAATTAACTTGTTTTCAGTGTAAATATACACCCATACAGTATACTGATGCATCTAAATTCTATTGACTATTAGTGTAAATAGTGTAAATTAGTGTAAATAGCATCGACCTTCTTATAAACACAATGTAAATAGCCTCTATTGGAATAACCAGACAAATCTGAGGATTTAAGGGTTTATCTATGTAAAACTCATGTTTCTTGTTTGTATGCTAATTTAAATAAAAGGTGAACTATTAATTGCACTGGTCTTATTTCTAAAATAATACAGAGCTCTAAAGGGGAAGGTTTTAATTTTTTTTCTTCATAAGCATTTTTGGCAGTTTTTCTGAGGCTTTTAAATATTGTTTATATCTTTATCAGAATTATATAATATTGATGGAAATTTAAAAAAATATATATATATTGTGATAAACATTTTAGTCATATCATCCAGACCCACTACAAAATATGCAGATTTCATATTTGGCCCAAACGAGTAATTAAATAACATTTATAAAACATGGAGGGATAAATCTGTTCCAAAAATACCTGATACACTCGATGACTCGACTGGCATTGAAGCAAATTCAGTCAACGGTCCTTCAGTCATTGATGATGGCCCTGCAATGGGCTCGGAGTCCTGATTTTCTGTCATAGCTGTAAACAGATGCACAATGTGGTTATCTGTACATTATGATATATTCATAATATAAAGACTTATAAAAATAACAAACATTTATACAATAATAGTTATACAAAATACGACTACAACATAAAACTACTCTAAAAACTGGGCTAAACAATAATTCACGATCACTTTATATCACAAGATGTTTTTCAATAACAGTGATATAGGATTTTTAAAATAATATCTGATATTAAAGCATTTGACAGTCAACTGGTGCAATTGTAGACTTTCAGTGTCAAGTCTTTCAGAGGCTTTTTGACCCCTTTTGTGGTCTTAGTTTGCCCTTTAAGCATCAAAAATGACCAGTCTTCACTAAACCACTAAAATAAAGCAATTTTAATTACAATCCTCAAATCCATTTTGCATGAAGAAACAACTTCATTATTGATTACAAGCTATGAGAATGTCTAGATTTTCACTGGTCATTGTGTACGTTTTTTTTAATCAATATTATCAGTATATACAACAGAATCAGTAAGTACCACTCTTATTTTTTTACTAAAGTAAATGAAAATATTTTCTTATGCTATAGGGACCTGCATATGTGCAAAAACGTAATCATAAAAAACATAATTTTATGTGCTGTTAAAATGATCACGGGTCCTTTTCGATGCTTAAGTCATCAGGAGGATTGAATATTGTTTATCTCAATATCAGAATTATATTATATCAACAGATACTAAGAAATATATTGTGATAAACATTTACAACACCCACAAATGGAAACATTTTTTTTCTAAAACATTGAGGAATAAATCTGTTCCAAATGTACCTGATACACTCGATGACTCGACTGGCATTGAAGCAAATTCAGTCAACGGTCCTTCAGTCTTTGATGGCCCTGGAACGGGCTCGGTGTCTTGATTTTCTGTCATAGCTGTAAACAGATGCACAATGTGGTTATCTGTACATTATGATACATTCATAATATAAAAAAAACAAACATTTATACAATAATAGTTACACAAAATACAACTGATATTTGATCATCCTTTCAGGAACCATTTCAGCTTCTCTCACAAAGACAAAGACAGTCATTTTAACAGTTAAACATGTACAAACTAGGGCTAAGCAATAATTCACGATCAGATTATCTAACATTATGTTTTTCAATAAGTCATATAGGATTTTTAAAAATATATCTGATATTTCAATATACACTGTAAATTCTAACATGTTCAGTTTACTTAAAAAAAGTTTGGAAACCGATTGCCTTATTTTTGCAATATAAACTTACAAGGAAATCTTAAGTTAAGTTTAATTATTGCCTTGAAGTAAGAAAACTAAAACTTATAAAGTAAACTAACTGTTAAAAATTAAGTAAGTTTAATAGAAAATTCTAGTTAACATACTTGTCATTATTTAGTAATCTTACTTAGGGTTTTATAGTAAGATTACTTTAATAGCTCTATTTAACTAATACTGTTCTACCATGTTCAGTTAACATCTTGAATGCTAGTAGTCTCAACATTGTTTTAATCCACTATTTTAAGTAATGTCAACTAAAGAAACTACGTGCAATCGGTTTCCACATTTTCTTCA